GTATTTTTTTTGTTTCAATTTCATTTATTTCTGTTCTGATCTTTATTATTTCTTTTCATCTACTAATTTTGGGTTTGGTTTGCTCTTGTTCTTCTAGTTCTTTGAAATACAACATTAGGCTGTTTACTTGAAGCATTTCTACGTTTCTGATGTAGGTATTTATTGGTATAACATTTTTTCTTATTACTGCTTTTGCTGTATTCCATAGGTTTTGATATGTTTTCATTTTCATTTGTTTGAAGAAATTTCTTTTAATTTCCTTATTAATCTATTCATTGACCCACTGGTCATTCAGGACCATATTGTTTAATTTCCATGTGTTTGTATATTTTCCAATATTCCTCTTGTTATTGACTTCTAGTTTTATTCCATCGTGGCCAGAGAAAATACTTGGTGTGATTTCAATTTTTTTTTGAATTTTGTAAGATTTGTTTTGTGGCCTGGGATATGGTCTATCCTTGAGAATAACACATGAACTCAGGAGGAGAACAAGAATTCTGCAGCTGTTGGATGAAATGTTCCGTAACATTATCTATTAAGTGTGGATTAAGACCAGTGTTTCTTTGTTGATATTCTCTCTGGATGAACTGTCCAATTCTGAAAGTGGAGTGTGGAGGTCATCAACAAGTACTGCATTGGGGTCTATCTCTCTCTTTAGCTCTGATAATATATGTTTTATATATTTGGGTTCTCCAGTGTTGGGGGCATATATATTTAGAATTGTTATGTCTTCTTGCTGAATTGATCCCTTTATCCTTATATAATGACATTCCTTGAGTCTTTTTTACAGTTTTTGTCTTGAAATCTATTTTCTATGATAGAAGTACAGCTACTCCTACCTATCAAATAGTTTGGTTTCCATTTGCATGTAATATCTTTATCCATTCCTTTCTTTTCACTCTGTATGTGTCTTTATAGGTGAAGTGGATTTCTTGCAGACAACATATAGTTGGCTCTTGGTTTTTTATCCATTCATACACTCTATGTTTTTCAATTAGAGAATTTATTCCATTCACATTCAATGTTATTATTGACAGGTAAGGACTTACTATTGCCATGATGTGTTTGATTTCTGGTTGTTTTGTGGTCCTCTCTTTCTTCCTTGTCTCCTTTCTGTCTTCCTTTGTTAAAAATGATTTTCTCTGGTAGAGTGTTTTAATTTCTTTCTCTTTATTTTTTGTGTATCTGTTGTAGATTTTTATTTTTATTTCAGCATATCATGGGGGTACAAATGTATAGGTTACATATATTGCCTTTGCCCCGCCCAAGTCAGAGCTTCAAGTGTGTCCATCCCTCAGACAGTGTGCACCACACCCATTAGGTGTGAATATACCCACCCCTCCTCCTCTCTCCCACCTGCCTGACACCTGATGAATGTTATTACTATATGTGCATATAAGTGTTGATTAATTAATACCAATTTGATGGTGAGTACATGTGGTGCTTGTTTTTACATTCTTGGGATACTTCACTTAGTAGAATGGACTCCAGCTCTATTCAAGATAATACAAGAGGTGCTAGATCATCATTATTTTTTGTGGTTGAGTAGTACTCCATGGTATACATACACCACATTTTATTAATCCACTCATGTATTGATGGGCACTTGGGTTGTTTCCACATCTTTGCAATTATGAATTATGCTGCTATAAACATTTGAGTGCAAATGTCATTTTTACAGAATGTCTTTTTTTTCTTTGGGTAGATGCCCAGTAATGGGATTTCTGGATCAAATGGTAGTTCTACTTGTAGCTGTTTGAAGTATCTCCATATTACCTTCCACAGAGGTTGTACTAGTTTGCAGTCCCACCAGCAGTGTATGAGTGTTCCTATCTCTCCACATCCACGCCAACATTTACTGTTTGGGGACTTTTTGATAAAAGCCATTTCACCAGAGTTAAGTGATATCTCATTGTTTTGATTTGCATTTCCCTGATGGTTAGAGATGTTGAACATTTTTTCATATGTTTCTTGGCCATTAGTCTATCTTCTTTTGAAAAGTTTCTGTTCCTGTCCTTTGCCCACTTTTTAAGGGGGTTGTTGGATTTTTTCTTGCTGATTTTCCTGAGTTCTATATAGATTCTAGTTATCAGCCCTTTATCAGATGTGTAGCATGCAAATATTTTCTTCCATTCTGTAGGTTGTCTGTTTGCTCTTGTGATAGTTTCCTTGGTTGTGCAGAAGCTTTTAAATTTGATCAGGTCCCATTTATTTATTTTTGTTGTTGCTGTGATTGCCTTTGGGATCTTCTTCATAAATTCTTCCCCTAGGCCGATGTCTATAAGAGTTTTCCCAACATTTTCTTCTAGAATTCTTATAGTTTCATGCCTTAGGTTTAAGTCTGTTATCCACCATGAGTTGATTTTCATGAAAGGTGAGAGGTGTGGATCCTGTTTCAGTCTTTTACCTGTGGCTATCCAATTTTCCCAGCACCATTTATTAAATAAGGATTCTTTTCCCGAGTATATATTTTTGTCTGCTTTGTCAAAGATTAAATGGCTACATGAGGATGGTTTTATATCTGGGTTCCCAGTTCTGTTCCGTTAGTCTATTTCTCAGTTCTTGTACAAGTACCATGCTGTTTTAGTTACTATAGCCTTGTAGTTTAGCTTGAAGTCTGGTAAACTGATGCCTTCCAATTTGATAAACAAATTTAGCAAAGTCTCAGGTTACAAAATGAATGTACATAAATCTGTAGCATTCCTATATGCCAACAATAGTCAAACTGAGAACCAAATCAAAGACTCAATACCCTTCACAAAGACAAAGAAAATAAAATACCTAGGAATATATTTAACTAAAGAGGTGAAAGACCTCTACAGGGAGAATTACAAAACACTGAGGAAGCAGACATAAAAGGTGGAAAACCATGCCATGCTCATGGATTGGCGAATCAAAATTGTTAAAATGTCTATACTACCCAAAGTGATCTACAGATTCAACGCAATCCCTATTAAAATGCCAACATCATTTTTTTTGCAGATCTAGAAAAAATTATTCTATGCTTCATATGAAACCAAAGGAGACCCCATATAGCAAAAGCAATCTTAAGCAAAAAGAGCAAATTGTTTTAGGTTTTTTGATTTGAAGTTACCATGAAGCTTGCAAAAAACATTTTATAACCAATTATTTTAAACATGTGACAACTCTGTTTACAAAGAAATAAACAAGCAAATAGAAATATAACAGAAATTCTACCCTTTAATGTCTTCCCCCCTGCTTTCTAACTTCTTATTGTTTCCATCCATATCTTTTTATACTATCTCTGAAAAAGTTGTTGTAGTTATTTTGACAAGTTTGTCTTTTAGTCTTCCTACTCCAGATATAAGTGGTTTATATACCACAATTATAGCAATAGAATATTCTGTATTTGTGTATTTAGTGAGTTGTATACCTTCAGATCATTTCTTATTGTCCATTAATGTCCTTTGTTTTCAGATTGAAGAGCTCCTTTTAGCATGCCTTGTAGGACAGGTCTGGTGTTGATGAAATGCTTCAGCTTTTGTTTGTCTGGGAAAGTCTTTATTTCTCCTTCATGTCTGAACGGTATTTTGCAGGATATAATATTCTAGTGTTAAGGTTTTTTTCCTTCAGCACTCCACTGTCTCCTGGTCTGTAAAGTTTCCACTGAGAAGTCTGCTGACAGATGTATTGAGCTCCCTTATGTTATTTATTTTTTTCTTTTTTCTTCCTTTCCTTAGGACCTTTTCTTTACCCATGACTTTGGAAGCCTGATTATTAAATGCCATGAGGTAGCCTTGTTTGGGTTAAATCTGCTTGATGTTCTATGATCTTCTTATACCTGAATCTTGATATCTTTCTCTAGGTTTGGAAAGTTCCTTGTTATTATTTCTTTGAATAAACTTTCTACCCTAATCTCTTCATAACTCCTATTTAAGGTAACTAATAGATTTGTCATTTTGAGGCTATTTTCTAGATATTGTAGGCATGCTTCATTCTTTTTTCTTTTTTGTCTTTTGACTGTGTATTTCCAAATAGCCTGTCTTTAAGCTCACTAATTCTTTTTTCTGCTTGGTCAATCTTGTTCCCTGTATCTCCATTGAAAAAAAATCTTGTTGGCAAAAAGTTGACAGTCACTTGAAATCACTCGATCTCTCCTTTGGTGGACATATCCTTGAAAACATTAAAAGAGTTCCTCTTGTTCTTACATAGAAACAATTCTGAAAACATAACTGAGATAAACCACTGTCCTTATTTGTCCTTTAATGTAAATTAAATGCATATCATACTCTGAATTTGTTTAGTGTAGCTGAAGATGTGCAGCACATGCTGTTTAGTCTTCAAAATTAATTTACTTTTGTTTAGCTATTGTTAACCAGGCTAACTCAACTTTTCAAGAAGACAATTAGAAAGAGCCTTGAAGATAAAATTCAATGTTTTTCATTTTAAAGATAGATTAATATATTAATTCATTGAACACACACATATTGGAGCCCCACCTGTGTTTCTGGACCTGGGTAAAGCTCACAAAATACAAAGTTGAATATGAACCACTTCTTATTCCTGAAGAGCTCCGATAGCAGTTACTATTGACTTGTGACTCTGGGGTGTTACCATTTCTAAGAGCTCTTGCCCGTGGTGATATTGTTTTGGCAGGCAACATCACCTCCATTTTACAGGAGCAAATGAGGTTTGGGATGTTCCTATCTAAGACATTAATAACACGTGGTAGACTTTTCAGTTATGCCTACACAGTAGGGTTACTGTTAGTAACACATCATTCAACAGGAAAAAACAAGAAAATCAAAATGTTATTTATATATATTTATCCCCAAACACATGTGAATATACACACACATATATATACGTGCACACATACACAAATAAGAACTCAGATGTAGTTTTTAAAAACAATGACTGGATTTCAAAAATCTAGGTTTTCTGGGCCATCTCCTTCAAGTTTGGGAATCCCAGGAAGTAATCACAAGATACTATCAGATTGCTGGCCACAGAGAACCATCCAGAAGTCGGGAGCTCACCTTGCTGCCACAGTGTAAACTGGCTCCAGTCTCCCTTCTCCCTCAGGTTTTCATCCTCAGGCAGGAAGAGGCCTTTGGCTTTATCCATCACTGCAAGGCCTTCATCTCGGATTAACTTCCAGTTTCGTTCTAAGGACTGGAGGGAAGATCTGGCTTTACTAGACTGACAATGTGCCTGGTAGAATACCTTATGATGACTCTCAGACTTTTTTTTTTTTTGATTTGTTTAATAAAGTAATGAAATTTTGCTCTCATCTAGGTTGCTTATATTTCAATTTTCTCATCACAGGTTTATATAAAAAACTCATTATTTTTCAGAACCAAATGTTTTGCAGCATAAAAAATTCAATAATTCCTAGAAACCTCAGGAAAGAACCCCTTCCACAATTTTTTTTATGTTTTATCTAAAGACTTTTGTTTTTTAAACTACAACTTGACAAGAGTATTGATCTTGTTCATTATACTACATCAGTCCTCTACAATAAGCTCCATGTGACACTCCAGCATCCAAGCTGGAATACAGATCACAGATTTCATTTCGCCTTTCAATAGAATTCCTTACAAAGATGCCGTTCAACACAGTAAGTATTACTTAAACTTTCAAAGATATCAGAAAAGTGTCCCTGGGAACATTTGATAAGTTATACAATTAGCAGCAAAACAAAACAAACAAATGTACTAGTGGTTAGAATTCAGGGACATAAAAATAGTTCTTTGACTTCTCCTATTATGAGGGAGTCTTAGCCCCTGCGAGAAAGTGGGCTAGTGACCAGCAGAGCCAGGAGTGCTGGGGGTGGGGTGGTGACTGCAGACCCTGTGGAGGACCCTCTGGGCAATCTTCACCATGGCACTGTGCAGCGATTAGGAGTGGGAAGGCAGGTGGGAGGAAGCAGGCGAGGGCGAGCATTGGAACAGCAAACTGAGATGAACAGCCATCCAGAGAAAAGAATAAAAAACAGCTTTTCTACCATTGGAAAGAGACAAAGTTTTGTAGATAAAGTAGGATTTTGAAATGTTAATAATTTCAATCATTTCTATAATTTCAATCATTTCCATTACACGAGAAGTGGATGAAATACTTGAGTATATGGATTCATGGACAGGGAGGAAGATACTAGCTGATTTCAACAAACATCAGGGGCCAGATATGCAGGTTAAGTATTTCTAATCCAAAAATTCAAAATTTGATATGTTCCAAAACCCAAAATCTTTTGAGTACTGACATGATGCTCAAAGAAAATGCTAATTGCAGCATTTTGGATTTTCAGATTAGGAATGTTCAATCAGTAAGTATAAGGCAAACATTCCAAAATCTGAAAAAAAATTGAAATCTGAAACACTTCTGGTCCCAAGGATTTTAAGTGACTCAAGAGCATGGGACTAGAACTAATAAGTTACAAACCAAGAAAAAGATGTTGATGCAAAAATTGAAAACAACGATTAGCACTCTCCAAAAATAGGTTGGGCTGCCTTGTAAAACATGGTTCTCTATCTTTTGAATTAGTCAAGCGAAATGACCAATTACTGGGCAGAGCAAAGCATGAGATGATGTGTAAGGTGTTTGTAGCAAGCCACACATTGTGAATTCATGAGTCAACGCAGGAAAACAAGAAGGAGTCGTGATAGCTGCACAGGCAGAGGGCTCTGATAAAGACAGACACTGAGATTTGTGTGGAACACGGTGCCACACCCAGCCACCCTAGGGAACACTTTTGATATCATGTGAAAACATTAGGGTTATTAAAATATGCTAGGGCAAGAGAGAGATTTTGATTAAACATTGACTTTATAATTCTATTTCTGTGACATCCACCCATTAACGTGTGTCAACATCTACACCTGCTCCTCGTTTGGGGTGGTGCTGATCAGTCATCCATATTTAGTGCTCAGTTTGCCAACTAGTTTCCATATTCATCCCAAGTAGGAAGCTAGTAAGTGGCAAGTCAAAGAATGCATTTCAATAAAGAAATACTCAAAAGCCCTCATTTTGACAGGCCCCCAGATTGAGAGAATACAATGGTTTTGTCAAAAATTCCAAGAGCATGAAAAGGAAAAAAAATGCACCCCAAGATTCTGTAGCACATTCATATCTTTTCAAACGCATCTAAATTGCCAACAGTCACTGTGGTTATTGTAACTTGTTCATGTTGCTAGAAAAATCTGTTAGATTCTTGTTAAACTGTCACACAGAGGAGGAGAGAATTACCTCTCTAACACATGAAATTACTTTTCAAATGAGGTTATTGATGCCTTATAAGGGCAAGCTCTTCCTCTCTTGCCTCCTGGTATTTTAGAAGTTTCTTTGATTTCTTCTGAAAGCTGATTTAGGGGCATGGTTGGAAACAGCTGATCTTTTGTTACTAAAATAGGGCACAAAGCCCTGGGGAAAATGTTAAAGTGATTGCATCACTCAGTACAATTTAATTTTTTTTTTTACTTAAGAATAGGCTGTCTTTTTTATATGTGAAATGTTGTCATTCCTGCCCTTTCATCCCCAGCCTCCCCTGGAAGGATCGCCAAGGTACTTTTCTATGAGTAGTAATTAATTTTCTTAAAAAACTTTTTTTATTTTCCCTTGTTATATGTGGCACACAAGTGTTGGATGACAGACTCAAGCTCGAAAGGAGCAAATTGGTGCAGAAGGGTCTCCAAACACCTGCGCTAAATGACACCAGACATGCTCAATACTAACCAAACGCTGAATAGATTTTAGCTTATTTTCATTAAAAACAGTCATTTATTATTTTCTGAGTTCAATACTTTGCCATAGAATTTTGCAACTGGAAGAAACCATACTGTTAACATAGATGAAATTTTTTCACTTTAAGGATGAGAAAATGAGTCTAGGAGTGGTTAATGAGCCAGGCAGCCCACAGTCTGGTGGGCAACACAGCTAGGGCCAGAAGTCAGCTCTGCTCGCTCTCCCTTGATTACTCCCAAGGCGCCTGCGGGAGGAGGGGCACGAGGGTTTCAGGCTGTGGTGGACCGGGGGGCCCTGCTCCTCTCTGGAGCATGAGAGCAACCGTGGGGCCCCACAGCCTCCCATGCACAGTGATTTACTGGGCACCCATCAGTGTGGGCACTGGTCAGGATGGAGCACTAGCGAGGTGCCCGAAGAGCAATGAGCTTCCCGCTGAGCACCGCACAGAGGGCAAGCCTCCAAGGCAGTCCACATCCTTGACAAGTGGGAGAAACTGGGCGAACTAAAAGATCCCACCAGTTAAATCTGGTGACGTAAAGAAAAACACAGAGACAACAACAATCATGATCTCCTACGTGTTTGATGTAAATATTTTTTTTGACCAAAGTAATGACTATGCTTGGGAGTGTTTACCAACATTGGAAAGATATGACAGGGGCTTTTATGGAGAGAGAAATCTAGGATAGGACCTGAGAATGTTGTTTTAAAGCACAAACCAAGGAATCACATTATATAAAATTCACATGATTACAGGAAATTAATGACCTAACTTAATTACACAGGGAGTGTGTGTGTGTGTGTGGTGAGGACCTGCTTCCCGGGTCACAGACAGCCGTCTTCTCACTGTGTTCTCACAGGGCAGACGGAGCAAGAGAGTCCCTGGGGTCTCTTTACGAAGCGCACTACCCCATTCAAGAGAGGTTTGCTCTCATGACCTAATCACCTCCCAAAGGCCCTACTTCTTATCATCACCCTGGGGGTTAGGTTTCAACATATGAATTTCGGGGGGGTCACAGACATTCACGCCATAGCAGAGTGTGTGCGCGTATGCGTGCACATGCGTGTATGAGAGAGAATATAAAATTTTCTCTATGTTAATTTCACTCAGTTGTCTGCAATAGCAAAATATTTCGTTTTTAAGGAAATCCTGATAGAAACTTGAAGTCTCACAAAGAGCAAGCAATGCCTACATTTTTAAAGGTCTCCTCTAAAATATTACTTTCTTGACCCTAAATTCATCCATTTCATAAAGCTGAAAAGAGAAACAAACTAATAGTATTGGTATTTCGGTTGGTTGCCCGGAAGACAATGGCTTCTAATTCTCATTTCTTCTTGTGGTAAAAGAGACTTTGGAAAATAGAGATTTGATGCTTCTGCAGGGCCACATGGCTTCATAAACCCAACGTCAGCACTTGCCTTGTGCGTTAAACCTCAGCTATATTTGGCACTCCAGGCAGCTATAAATGGACTTCCCAGTTCCAAGCATCATGAATTCTACATGCCCAAGCTCTCCTGAATCCCAACCCTCCACCCAGTTCAGAGCAGTTTCCTCACCTTCCCAGACAGCTCGCTCATCTAAATGACGTGTTTATACGGCTATTCTTGATTTGTTAATTTTTAGACATTATCTCACATCTATTAGGGAAGGTTAACAATTTAACGATTTGATGTCTTCTTCTTTTCCTTCTTTTCCATGCTTGGCAATACAGTCAATTTCACAAATCTTTCATACCTCTGGGTAAATTCACATTCAGGTTTTATAATATTATGACAATGAGGTATCATTCACGCTTGAGTTGTAATGATTACACTTCATTTCACATGCAGCTTTTTTTATTCTGCCCCTTTTTTGTTGGTTTAATTTTCTAATGCACCTAACACTACTGCTCCACTAACTCTGAGATAAAATCTCATTTTTATATCTCAGATTTTATACTCTGAGTATAAAATCTTGATACTACCCTTCGCCCAAAACATCATATAATCCATTTACTTTCTTTTTCTCTTTTTCTGAAGGTAATTCTCCAGCAGCCATCTGCCTCCTTCTCATCTGGACCATCTGCTGTCTGAGCTTGCTGGATGGACAAAGGTCACCGCGGAAGTTCCCTTGGCCTCTACATTGCATCGGGCTCCCTAATCATTCAATTCTAATTGTTTCTGAGGAAGGACACACCACAGGTAAAACTGAATTTCTAAAAATATCTGAAGCTATTATTATTCTTACACTTGATTGAAGGTTTGACTGTGTACAGTTAGGTATTTAGGAGTAAAGGTACTGTTAGTAAATAATTTCTTTTAGTAATTTTTTTCTTG